GGTGAGCAAACCATCTGATACTGTAAACATACAAGGCTTCTCGGAACTCTGTTACAATATCGGCTGCCACCTCTAATCCCCCCTTCCACACTAGAGCCGTTCTACTTGAAATGCCATGTAATTGAAATTACAAGCTTTTGGCTCCCCGTGGCAGTCAGCCAGCAGCAGATTTTACGCTAAACCTTACACTAAAAAAATGAGAGTTTGAGTTAACTTACACGTAGTTTTTCTGTTTACAGGAAAGCTGGAAGCAGGAAATATGTGGACACCCAGGAATCACATTTCAGTTTTTGAAATGCAACCAGAATAATTTTTTTCTAAACTTCAGTTCTGTATTATTTACTCCTATTTGGACTAATATCTAATATCTCCAAATTTGTCAGGCCCAAGAACACAAAATTCTAGACAGGTAAAAACTAGGCATTCATTGATTTCCTTTTCTTACATATATTTTTCTAAAGTTCAGAATATTCTTTCAATTTAGAATTATAGTTTAGAGGATTAAATATTCTCTAATAAGAAGATTTTCACCTAAAAAATGAAAGCTTTTTTTTTTGGCTCTATATACAAAATATGTGCCTGTGTCTGGTTTATGGATTTTGTTTGACATAAGAGAGGTCTCAACCAAATAGATTCAGGGTATGCAATTCAAACTACTTAACTACTTGCAGGAATTATCACTTATTTCCCAAGAACCCTGATATGTTCTTCTAACCATCTTGTATTGTTAACTTACCTAACAGTGGATAAACTTATACATTTGTGTAGGGTTTTTTTACTACCAGTGGGAGAGTTGAAGTAATCTAATATTAACTATTATTATTTTTATAGAATATTTAAATTTTGATATTAAAATTTGAAGTGTCACCTTTAAGTGCCTGAATTTCTAAATTACAAAATTCAGCTTGGATTTTAAAACTTCTTTATCAGAACATACCAATTTGAACATAAACATCTTCATAAATCTCCAATTTGAACATAAATATGTACATAAATATGATATAAATATGACCCTTATAATTCCTATTACTGTAAAGGTGCACTGCTGTTGTTCCTGATATGACAGTGTGATCTTAAAATAACTATTTGAATGACTAACCCACTAAATGCTAAACAGTGACCCCAACCAGTAAATAATTTATAGATTTAGTTAAATACAGAAGTTTGGATTATTTCTGTTGATTATACTCAAGTAATTAAGTTACTTCATATATTGTTCTACGGGAAAAAAAATGGGAAAAGCTATGAAAATTTCTAACCAATAGAACTGAAATAAGATGACATTGTAATATTATTGTATTCAACATATATTGGCAGCAAGAATAAAAGCTTCGTTTTTCCTTGTGCATGAAGCTTCAAGTCACTTTACAAAATGAATTAAAGAATTTATGTATTTATCACAGAAAATCCATGTCTGTATTTCTTCTATGAAAGCAAATGAAATGTTCCAAAGCAGTAGGGAATACAGGAAAAAATTGTTTAAAACAATACACTTCTATAAAACACTTTATTACAGTATTTTTCCCACAGTAATAAAGAGCAAAAACCCAAGGCACATTCATGCAGAAACACTTTTTGCAATCGGACTTTTTCTTCCAGTTTCTGCTGCATTTGGATTGGTTTGCCTTACACGGATAATTTACAAAGAAAAATATACCTTTTTATGTGCATGTGCAAAGCAAGATTCACATAAAAACCCCCAAAAACTAAGCATAAGTCCTGCTAGATCCAGGTGGTAAAAGAAACAAGTCAGAGAGAAGGCAAAGACTGCTCGATGTGATCTGCTCAGTGCATGTGCCCTGTTTCTATCTGATAGTCACTGTAAAGTCAGCAGCTTCCTCTGACACCCTGGTTTTCCATTTCTGCTGGAATTCCAGGCCATTAAAATTTTCCCTAGTATCACTTCCGTATTTTCATAGAGTTTTATTTTACTTTATGTTTCTGGAAATGTTCTAAACATTTGGCTAGCAAACTTTGTGTTCACCACAGTACAAAATTCTCAAGAAAAAGATTTTGTATTTTGCCTGGCACTTTTCACTACACAAAATATTTACCAGGCAGTAAACTAGGATCTCTAAGGATGTTTTGAATGCTTGCTTCTACTTTGAATTCTTACAAAACACTTGGGGACAGTGCTGATTCCTGTAAATACTTCAACCAGCTTTTTGCTCTACTCACTTATTCATCCAGAATGCCTTGTTTGGGGTTGTGCAGCTCTGAAAATCTAAGTTCTCAATTTTCCAAACATTAACTTTTTAAATGAAAAATACAGCATAGCAAAAGATTCTATTTTTAAAAAGTATAAAGAAAAAGGTCTAACTATAAAAACCAGGGTTTTCAGAAATTTATATAAAAAACTGCAAGAAAATCATAATATAAACATAGTGTAAATTACATGAACCATGTTATAGACATAGATGTTTCCTGTCTCTTTTCAATACTAGTATCCAGATTGTTTTGGTATTCACATTAAAGATCTTACATGTGGATTCATATGTAGGACATGAAAAAAAGAACCTGAAGTTTTTTTCTGAAAATCCTTAGGCATAATTCTTGCTATTTTGTCCTGCAGTTTCTCTCAAAAGACTTATACTCTGAAGGCCAAGGCACCTTTCTGGAAAATTTGTCAATATACCTAAGCAGAGAAAAATTTATATAATCATCCATTTAACTAGCAACAAACATAAATTACCCTATTGGAATGCAGTACCAATATTAAACATTGCACACCTTGAACCACGTCTGCAATTTTTACATATAATATGCACGTTTGAGTGAATACCAAGAATCAATTTGTCAAATTTATGAGATATGTCTGATCAACATCTTATTCTATTTTCCCCTCATCTTGTATCTCATAAAATATCTAAAAATCATTCAAGTCATGAGAATATACTTTGGTATCAATTCTGAAATAATTTTACAGGCATATTTCTTACTGCTTGGAATGATTGTGGAAATCCATTGCAAGATTGCATTTACCCACACAGCCTTCTTATGAGGCATCTCAGTTTTATCTCTGTATTTTGTATATAAAGATTGTCAAAGAATAAGTCTCACTGAAAATTATTAGGGGAGCATGGAACAGATCTCTCCTTCAGAGCCTGAAAGGCAATGAGAACAGTTGGATCATTTGTTTATTTTTGAGGAAATACAGTTACTAAGTGTTGGATAGTTGGATTTTATTTTGAATATCAAGCCGATATAAAAAGACAAAAGTACACAATCAGCTAGCTACACACTATTTAAGCAAGAACACTAAGACACAATACACCAAAAAAAAAAAAAAACCCAAAGCATATGAACTAACAGTAACTGACTCCTTAGGAACTTAGGCAAAGTAGTTTTTCAAGAGCTCGGGATGTGAAACGATCTGCTTTTGCCCTGAGGATGGACAGGCAGAGCAAGAGCTGCAACTGCTCCTTTTTTCTTCCCTTTGAAGCACTGGTAATTACAGCCTCAGCCAGTGTGGCTTTCAGGGATTCAGCCCAGGTAACCTTACTGCCTCTGGCAGTTCCATCCTCCAGGCAACCTTAAATAAGCCTGGAACTACCAGAGCACGACATGAACCAGGTACATACTGTTTGTTTGCTCCTGAGCCTGCACACACAGAGCATACATGGAAAATTGTTCAGCTGAAGGCTGTACCCTTCTGTAACAAGTTTTTGTTAATAAGCATAATGAACTTTTGTTTTCTTTGTATTTTTTTCCTATGTAATTCAATTTATTAGTTTCTCTTTCCCTACATTACATGCCTGCAGAATTAATAAATCAAACTTTGTAGCTATGAGTCCAAATAAATAAGAAAATGTGAGTACAGAAAGTGCTGTAAAATTTATCTTGCCCCTCTGTTCGCTGGTGGGAAGCAGAAAGGAGGTTTGAAAAAGAAGCCCCAAGCAATGCCAGCTGAAGTTCTGTTCTTTACTCTTTTTGCCCAATATCAGCAAATGCTCTGTGAGCTTGCACTCCAAGTTCTCAAAGAACTTTAGGGTTTGATCTGGAACTCCATAACCCTCAACTGCTTTCATAAATTACCTGGTTGTAAATACTTTATGTTCAATAGTATCTAGCTTTATTCACACTGCTTAATCAGCTGCCTGAAAGACTGACATTTGCATTACCATTTTTCTTCTTTTTTATATTGCCCCTTTTTCCTTATCTAACAAATACTGAGCCCTTCTTTCACTTCCTGTATCAACACTGAAGAGTGCAATAAACCAGTACTACTACTACTGAACAGGAATTAATGTGTCCTCTTATACTTGTCTAAAATTTTGCAAAAATGAACAACTATTGTCAATTTCTTTACCTTAGGGAAAAAAAAAAAAGCAATCCCTTCTTCAACCTATATTCAAACTCCTGGTGCAATACCAGTAGCACCAAAATTACGATTATATAATTTTTAAAAAATTATTTTAGTGCTGGTTTCCACAAACTGCATATCTGCAAAGATTTTTTTTTAAGTTTCAAAATAAAAGAACTGATGGAGATATTACCAAGCATAATATTGCATTATTTTTAAAATATACATATAAACTAGATATACATTTTAACTGAACTGTTCTTACTACTTTTCAAGTAAATGGTAACAGAAATCTAAATTATATTTGAGATATTACAATTTCATATTTCAGAATAAAATTTAGGGTTTGAATTATTTTGTTCTCTTCAATTTGTAAAATTGAATATTATCTGGTAAAATTAATATTTGACTAGCATTTAAAAACATACAGACTACGTATAAAATTTCTGTATTTTCAATGGGCAAGCCCAACAACACGTGGTTTTGTAGATTATAATAATTTATTTCAAAATACCACCTTTCCTAGAATGAAAAAATTAAAACAGAGAACTGAAAATTCAGAAGGGTTATGTAAATGTAGTTTTCTTCTCTCTAGGATGACAGTGCTGGCAAACATAACTTTTATCTCTATGCATAATCTATTTTTAAGAAACTAATTTTAAAAATGACAGGATTACCCATAAGGGAAGGTACTTACAGATGCTGCCACTTGAGAAGCACTCTGAAACTCATTAATATCTTCTGTGAGTGTTTCAACCCCAGGTACTTGAGCTGTTCCAAAGAGGTACAAGAGAAATGTAAATCACTCTAATCAAGTAATTGTTAGTCACTTTGAAATTAATGCCTAAAAATTTACTGCTAGGAAGGTAAATGTGGCTACTGTTAATAGTAGCCCAAAAAAAACCTTTAAGTACTGTAAACTATTTTTCAGTTACACTTCAATGGATTATAATTTATGTCTGATTTTAATTTATAACTTTAATGCAACATGGAACAGTGTCTTTAACATGACTAGAGTGATAAGCAAGCTTCCTTCAGCTGCCAAGGTATTTTCTAGGTTCTTTACTACCTTTACTATTCGAACTAAATACTGTTTACCCTTTGCACAAGTGAGTAGTGATCTCCAGCTTTAATAAAATGAATAAAACTATATTCAACTAATTCAGTTAAAATTCCTGAAGTAAAAGGATTTGGTCAATTTAGACAAGATTTAAAAGCCTTGCAAGTATAACTTTTGCCCATATTACCACATTTGTAAAGTGACAGAATTTTTTGAGGAGTCTAAATGTCTCTTTGATGCATGTGAAATGACTTAAAACAGATTGTATGTGCCCATGTCAGAGAAAGAAATTTCCAAGTAACATTCTACGCAGTTTCACTCTTTGCCTAACACTCTGCTAAGGCACTTAGATGCTGCATCAGTGGCCTAACAAAACAAGATGTCCTGATCTTCCCCACATTCTGCTGGTATTCAGACACATAGCAGGGAGGCCCTTATGTTTCCAGAACCCAATTTGTTAAACATCTCAGCTATACTTACTATGCAAGCAGAACTTACAGTGAAGCGTGGCGACTGTGGTTATCAATTAATTGCAAACACAAATTGATGTGGAGGGCGAAGAGGTGATCATAATGCAAAGCTATGGTCAGGGAATTGTGTGGGAATTGAGAGATGATGTCACACTTTTGCCATTGCCTTATCTAGTTTTCAATCCTAATTCCCACATACTTACATCCTTAATTTTTTACCCTGGTCATGCAGTTCCACCCAGAACAACACTACATGTGTTTCTTATGTTAATGTTTTTATTGAATGTCCCCAGTTCAAAACTTTTTCTCTACATTCTAATGTCTCTTTTGAACTTTCTAGTATAATGACACTCAAAAGGAGAAAAAAAAAAAACGAAAAAACCCCAAACAAACAAACCAGAACCAAAACACCCAACTATGTAGAAACTATATATTTTAGGTTTTTCTTGTTTCTACTAGCTAACTGCAAATAATAAAAACCAGTGACTCCTGTTTGATAGGGAATAAACTAATGGTGAGAACTTTGCTCTAGCAAAATTTATTTAGCAAAATAAGTATTGCATACCACGATATAATCTGTAGAGCTGTAGAGGTAATAGCACAATAAAACAAGAAATACCACATTTATACAGTGGCATAGTACCCCAGAACCTATCCTTTTTGGTCCAATATTATTCCAAATATTCCAATATTATTCCAGAGTCACAAAAGAAACAAGTCTTTGCCCACACCTCAGGAATATGTGGAGTTGCACAATACACTGCAAAGAAACTCACATAATAAAGTGCTTTTCTTAGATAATTTGAGGAGTGGTTTAGAAGTCTTATACTTTTTATTTATCTTATATTAAGAGATTAATCCCTATTAAATTACTGCATTTTAAACTTAATTCTGCAAGAATGCACAGACTGCAAAAGCTTTATTTGCTATAATGTCTTCTTTTCCTGCTTTATATCATGGCTTCACTCAAAGGGCAAGGTACATTTCAGCAGATGAGAATGAAACGAGTGAAACAAGGTTGCACAGTACTTATAGGAAATTGAGAATAAATGAACAATTATCCTTTAGTGATGCTATTTCTACATATCTAATACCCCCTGAAAAAAATACGGTAGATTGCTTCTGCAATCCCACCAACCTGAAAAACACATTGGGGGCTGTTGGATGCAGGTTTTTGGCTGAATTCTGTTGTAGTGTGTATGCTTTGGAGCCTCAGCCATTCTCCCCATCCACCTCTACAGAACAAGAGCAAGGCTCAGTGGAGAACTGACCAAAGGGACAAACCACACAAGCTTGGCATCTACAGGGGAAGTCTGCTGTGAAATCATCTTTGCTGCTGCTTCTAATCAAAATCAAGAACCTATTAAATTCTTCCCTTAGTTCTTTCCTGTGAAGAGGTCTAATGGAAAAGGGAAACATTTTTGAGAGGTGTAGTTTAGGACAGTGAAAAGAAACTGCAGCTTTAAAGTGTCTTGTGTTCTTCGATCTTGAGACCTGATTCCTACCTCTCATTTTTACTACTTAGATCAAACACAAGTCTGTCCAATTCAGCAGGATTATACTAGAGGGAAATCAGTGTAGTGGTTAATTAGAACCAGAACCAGATTGTCAGTGGAGTCAGTAGAGTGTCTGATGCTGCACGTGATCTTTTCACATAAGCTACTACATTGACTTTAGTAGCTGGAATTACTTAAAATGAGGCTTATTTATAAGGGCTGTTAGATCAGATGTTCTGCCAATTACTTCTGAGCTTAGTTCATCTGAAATTCACAGGAGAGATGTTCCAGATCTAACAACAGAAACAGATCATTATTTAAAGAAAGCTACTCTCAACTTTGTTGTGCATCAGCACCTTACTTGCTTATTCTTGAATGAATGGTTTGCATCAGCACTTTCCAATGCAGTTTTCCCTCATTAAGGGCACGGGTAGTGATAAATAACAGCAGAACATAAATTCAAATAAACCTGGTAAGTCACTATTTCATGATGTAATACATCTGTATGAGGACATAACTAAAAATTCAGTGTAACAATGCCTTAGTTACTTAGGGTTTTTAAACAATATCTTTATGAGGTCTTTTTATCATCATCTCATACATAATATTTATTGGAAATAAGTATCAGATGCAAAGAAAGCAAATATTCTGCTGCATTTATAGGAAAGATTGATAGAATGGGCAGTTGCCTGAGCACTGTGTCTGTTTATAGTCTGTACCTACTTGTGAAATGTAGCTGTGTATTTTTTGAAATCAAAGTGTAGCACTAGCCAACATTTTAGGATAAAAAGACCCAACCATATGTTTTGAAACACTGAATATTTCTGAGGGCACCTCTTGACAGAAATTTGGCATTACCTTACAATTGACCTCAGTCTTTTTGCCCAAGAGGCCTTGTTATTTTCTAGCTACAGGACTAACAGGTCTATATATATTCACAGACATGAGACAGATTTTTATAACAACGTGAATATCATTGCCCCACCTACCTATCTAAATTTTACTCCCTGTATTTTATTGTATTTAAAAGAAAGCATCTTCCATCTTCTCTGTAGCCATATTGACTGCAGAAACACATGAAATGGCCAAAGGTAGAACAGCTATTGCACTTTTGTGCTCCATATCCTGTGACCAAGAAAGATCCAGCTCCAATATAACACAGCATCAGAACTTTCTGATAATTTCACCTTCTTTAATCCTCGTGTCTCTGCTACTTACCATAACCTAACTATTTAATTGAAGCCTGTAATTTCAGAAGATAGCATGGCAAAGTGGGCATATTTTCACTTCAAGAGCAAAGGTATGCAGGAGGGAAAATGGAAACTTTTTTGTGAACTGTAGAACTTTTTCCCACATGTCTGCCTTACCCATCTATTTGCTTTTGCTGCAATAATCTCATGCATGCATATTCCCTTATCTATCCCAAGCAAGCCACCACCACCTCCCTTTCTGGGAATCACTCTCACAACAATAGAATTTTGCCCTCCTTTCACACGGCTTGATTGAAGTCACCAGCCTGAGCATCTCTTGCTGACAATCTTCATGAAGATTGTAAGGACATCGTGTTTTGAGATTCTGAGTGTCCTATTCCATTCTTCAGTTAAATGATCAATGGTAGATAAAAGGAAAGGCCAATGTCTTGACTGCATGAAACCATACATCTCACAAAACCAGTTTTTAAAGATAGATTTTTAAATACTTATTAGTTACTAATGGTTGCTTTACAAATGAGACAATAAGTGAGAACTTAGGTTGCTGGGATACCTAATAGCACATACAATAGCATTAGATAGCAGACAGAGAGTAGGATTATTTTAAAAATACGTTCTGGGGGTTTTTTTGTGTTAATTGATCACCATAGTTAACTTGTCCATGGCTGCTGAAGACTACGCTGCAAATTAAAACATTTGTAATTTTGATTTGCATCAAAACTACAAAAAACATAAAAAAAATTTAAAAAATTTTGTAGACTTGGCTAGTTCTGCCCAACAGTAAGGGAATGGACTGAAAGATTTATCTTTGTAGATTCTCTGTCAAAAGTTCTATTTCTTTCTCTCTGCATTACAGTGGCAGCTAAGATAAAGTTAACCTTCATCAACTTTATCTTTCATAGGAAAGCTGGGCATTCTCTGGAAAGATATCATTTATGCAGTGCTTTTTTCAACATTTCAGGTGTTATTTGGTTCAAAAACCTGAGAAGAAATTGAAATAAGTTTGAGTGTCCTGACTGCAGATTAACCCAACATATGAACATGTTTGTATGAGGAAAAAAGGTGTTTTTCAGAGTTATTTTATAAACTCTTAATTTCTACTGTAAATCATTTGAATCATCTGATACATGTGTAGTAATAAATTAAATATTTCAAAGCCCATTCTTTGGCATAAAAGCAGCAATGAACAGCCCATGTCTATGCCATTAAGCTGTTTTAAATGTTAATGTGCTAACATAAAATCTGTATACTAAAAACAAATTTTGGTCCCATGTACCTCTCAAAATATGCCTAGGAATTATTCTGGAGTGTTAATTGGCCATGAAAAAAAATATGCTAGTGGCTCTTTGAACAGATTTGAAATGCAAATGATCGAGTTCAAATGCCCAGGAACACTCTCTTGGAAGTGTTTCATCTTTTACACACATAACCCCTACTCTCAAATGCAAGATGTTGATATTTGGGCGTTTTTTTATCAGCAGCAAATATTTACATAACTTACCATCGGAGTCTGACACTGCTGGCTCAGATGTCTGAGATACCATGGAGACATCTTCTGGCCTTTCTGCCAAATTATCTCCTTGCAATCTAAATTGTGGAAAAATGCAGTGAAAACATTTGCAGTCATATTCAATGGATAAGACACATAAGAACGTTATCCCTGGCTACCATACCCTGCTCACAATATTGCCCTAATTAAAGGAGCAGCTTTGCTGAAAAGCCCACACTTGTGGTTCAATCATAACCTGGACTGTCTAGTAACCAAAACTAGCCTCCAAGTGTTGAACAGGCAACTGAATCCTAGCTTATGCATTTTTCTAAGTCTTATTTTACAGAAGTGAGGGTTTGGTGTGCATGTGAAACTGCAAGCTTCTTTCCCTACCTTCAAAAATATTTTAATTGACTAGGACTGCACTGGGTGTCCATGCCAATGTGTTGGCAGTGCAGTGGCCTTGGTGAGGAGAGGCTGGGGCTGCCCTGAGCCAGTCACAGGTGGCTCCATCTGGCTCCAAAAAGAACATGCAGGGCAAGGCTGAGCTTTTCAGCAAAAACAGTGGCACCTTGGAGGAAACATGTTTAAGGAAGAGCCAGCCACAGTGCCACACAGGCAGAAGAGCAGGGAACAGGAAGACTGGGAAACAGCAGAGGACACACCAAGGTCAAAGGAGATGGTGCTCCATACTATGGGCAGATACTCCCCTACAGCCCATGGTGAAATGCCAGAGGCAATATCCCATGCAGCCCCTGGAGGACCAATACCAGGGCAGGTGAGTATGTCTGGGATGGGCTGTGGCAGATGGAGATCCCACACTGGAGCAGGTGAAAAGTGTGGTGAGGAAGGAAGGGCAGAGAGGACTGACCATAACCTCCATTTCCTGACTCCCATGCACTGCTCAGTGGGTGGGGAGAGGATCCTGAAGTGAAGGAGTGAATTTGGGAAAGGGAGGTGGAAGTGTGGTTTAATGTCTGTCTTTTAGTTTCTTATCACCTAAACCTATTTTAATTGGCAATAAATTAAACTAATTTTCCCCAAGTCAAGTCTTATTTGCCCATTGTAGTAACTGGTAAACAATTTCCCTGTCTTTATCTTAACCCACAAGCTTTTATTTCCAGTTTTCTCCTGTCATCTTACTGGCTGGGTAGGGAACTAGCCCTTAGCCAAAGTTAACCCACCACAGGGAACTATATGTAAGAATATTTCCTCCTCCTTTGTTACTTGTTAAAAGAAAAATACAGTAGTTATGGCAGGCTTTGTCTTCAGGCTTTCCTGCTGCACCAGCTGACTGCAATGCCCTGACAGCAATTTGTACAAATAATGCTTGTATCTGTTTTTTCAAATGAGGATCCCAAGAGTCACACCATCCTTCTCCAGGCTCTTATGAATCCTGAGTACAAATTCCACTCTGAAGAAGTGCTTTGTAGCTCTAAATGCAATTTAGAGCTCTATAGCTATACAGCAGCTCTATAGCTGCCATTTACATAAAGGTTATCTTACCGTGGATTTATTCAGACATGAAAAGAATAAGAAGAATGCAATTCAATTTTGCAAAGCCCAGGAATCATAAAAATGCATTGAAGTAAAACCTTGGGGAAAGAAATAACTTATCTCTTGGAAGAAAAAAAAAAGTTCTTTTCACTCTGTATTCTTACTCTCTGCAGCTGTTTTACACTAAGCTTGAAATTAACCTTTGAAACCAAGTATAACTTCCTTATCTGCCCTATCTAAATTTCACATTTTATGACTCTCACAGTTATCTAATACCTATGGATCCTAAGTCATCTTTTTGTTTGTAGTCCTCAAAACCATTTCCCCCACAACCTCCTCCCCCAATTACTTTATCTCCTTTTGTTGCCCCTAGAGCGATTTATTTATGATGGAAAGCTCAGTGTAAATTCATAATATTTCTTATCTAAGGTGGCAGATCCATAGAACATGAAACTCAAGAAAACAAAATGTAAAACTTAGAAGCTGTAAAACTAATTTTGAAAATTACTTCTATGAATCCTTTATAGCTCTGTACCTGGCTTCTAATGCTGTAGTTTCCAGTTCTTTAAAAGCCTAGATTTTCAAACAGAAGCAAATTACTTTCTATCCTAGAGATATTCAAATAGGGAGAAAACAAATTGCAAATGAAATAACTATGCAAAAAAGGGAAGATCTCAAAAATCACATAATTTGCCACTGCAATACAATTCACCCATCCTCCTTCATTACATACACATGCACATTTACTGCAAGCACCTACACATCTTAGAAAGATATGCATGGAATTGCAGGAACCAGAAGTGAGATACTCTTCTCTCCAGCCATGCTGGTAGTTTATTTATATTTCACTAAAAGGATAGTTAATCCAACTTTTTCTGCTTACATTACAATCATATAAAAACTATCTCTAGAAGTAGGAGCTGCTTCTTTTATCCCATCAGAATTTTCAACATTTTATATGTTCCCATTCTGAGCTTCAGTAAATCCAAACCAGACATGAATAACTGAAATTGTTAGAATTTTAACATATTTAAGCGGTCCATTGCCTCATGAAGAACACATACACAAAAAAAAAAATCTTTTCAATGTATGTAATCAGAAAATCCATTTCATATGATTTTACTTTGTAGGAAGAAACGGCTGGGGTATTGGGTGGATGGGTGCATAGGATGTTTGACATATCCATACTTTATTTCCACATCCAATTTTCAATTTATGTATTTCTTACATATAGCTTCATATCAGAATATGTTCTCATGAAACTCAAGCAACAAAAAGTTACAAACACAATTTCTTGTCAAAAGAACTCTGGTACTTGAACTATTAAATTTTTTTCTTCAAAAGTATTATTATTCATAAGACATCTCCACAGTAAAATGAAAACACTTAAAAACTCTTAAGGAGAAAAAAAGCATAAATTAGAAAGACATAGGTTTAAAAGAGTTACCTAAAAACTACTATCTTACTAACACCTGATGGACTACAGCTTTTAACCAAAACATTATATCAGCTATTAATTATTTTAATGTGAGTCTAAATTTGATACCTGATAGCCAACATTTTTCCCATATCTGTTTCTAGTGTGATTTCTTGCTTAGAGGACATTTCAGTTATATTAACCAGCTGCATATTGGCGCTTCAAGAGCTACAAAAGCAAACAGCCTACAGGTAAATATTTCAATTTTCTTTGACCTCAAAATGCATTATGCAGGGCTTCTTCCAAGAAAACGGTTAAGAACTTCAGGACGAAAGATATTCTGAATAAATTCTATAGATTTGGTGCAGAAGCATTATACAGGGTCTATCACTACAAACAAGCTTGTGGATGTGTGAATCACAGTCCTCCTGCCAGTATGATTTTAAAAATACAATTCATAGATTTATAGAATAGGTCAGATTGGAAGGGACCACAGTGGTCCAACTTTCCTGCTTGAGCAGGGTCATCCTAGATGGTTCTTGAATGTTTCCAGTGAGGGAGACCCCACAACCTCTCTGGGCAATCTGTTCCAGTGCATGGTCTCCTGCAAAGTAAAGAAGTTGTTCCTCATGTCCAGGCAGAACTTCCTGTGCATCAGTTTCTGCCTATTGCCCCTTTTTGTCTTTCTTGGCATCACCAAGAAGAGCCTGGATCCAGCTTCTTGCAACCCTCCCTTCAGACACTTGTAAACATTGATAAGGCCCCCTCTCAGTCATCTCTTCTCGAGACTGAACAGGCCCAGCTCCCTCAGCCATTCCTCATTAGAGAGATGCTCCAGTCCCTCCATCACCTTTGTAGCCCTTCACTGGACCAGCTCCATGAGCTCCATGACTCTCTTGTCCTGAGGAGCCCAGAACTGGACACAGCACTCCAGACGTGGCCTCACCAGGGCTGAGTAGGGTTAGAATCTCCTCCCTCAACCCACTGGCAATGCCCTTCCTAGTGCACCCTTAGGACACCACTGGCCTTCTCGGCCACCAGGACACTGCTGGCCATGGACAGATGTTGTCCACCAGGACCCCAGGTCCTTCTCTGCAGAGCTGCTTCCCAGCAGGTCAGCCCCCACCCTGTGCTGGTGCATTCTTCCCCAGGTGCAGGACCCTGAATTTGCCTTTGGTGAATTTCAAATGGTTCTTCTCTACCCATCTCTCTGACGGGTCAAGGCTGGATACAGGACAAATTCCTACCTGGGAACTCCAGTGCATTAAATGTAGACAGACACAGTGATTCTCCTCTATGTCAACACTGCTGCTCTATGACATTCTTAACATCAGTAGTTAGAGAAACTAAAGTAAATTTGACGTTATAGCAGAATACTAGAATTTAAAAATCCAACATAGTTCACATAATACTTTCAAGGACTACGTGAGATTAATAAAATAATTACATACACTTAGTAACAACCACAGGTACTTTCTAACATCAGAACCTAAAGAGAAGGCATAAAGCGTTCTGAAAACCAAGAAATAGAAATTCTTTGGGAAGACGACTGATTCAAAGTATGTATATTAACAATTGTCTTGTGCTAGTGTATAACGAAGGTTGTACTTTAGGAAATTTCTGAGCAAAACACAATTCAGAGGGTGATTGTCACTTACAGACAGAAACATTTAGATTATATTTAGGTTAATGCTGTTTTGACCTATTCTTCCAGAAATATGTCACTTAAATAACCAAAATTCCATTCTATTCCTTCCTAAAATGAACCAGCAGAAGGGTTTTCATTTTCGGACGAAATCTCCTTTAATCTCAAATAAACAACTACAGGCAAGGGTTATATAATTACTGTGCATATGGCTGGCCTTCAAATTCTGGTACACAACTAAGGATTTATTTTTATTTTTAAACATAGCATACTAGAGCTGGATAACTGTGCTCAAATTCTGATGTTGTCTAGAGGTGAACAGCAACAGAAACTGAAAGTCCACTTGAGAGGAAATCCTGAAAACCTGCTATTTCAAGAAAATACAAATGCTTCTGCTGACTTTTTAGTAGTGAAGAAAAATTCCTCCATGGGCTCCAGGACACTAAAGGGCACTCTCCAAGGAGGAAGGGGGAAATTACATGTCTAAGCACTGCAGTTCCAGCCATTCTCTCTGCTCTGCCCTGTGTCAGCTAAATTTT